CATCAGGCTTAGGGGCAAGTACCCTTACTGCTAAACCATCTCACATCATCATTTGAAATACTTTTTTTTTTCCTTTTTCTTTCTCTGTAGCCCCGGCTGTCCTGGAACTCACTCTGTAGACCAGGGTGGCCTCCGTCTCTCAGAGATCCACTTGCCTCTGGTTCTTGAGTACCAGGACCAAACACATGCTTGGGCCACCACCTCCTGGCTTGAAATACTTTTTGTCATGGAATGGAAACTTTTCTCGCTCCAGAAGAAGGAAGAGGGAGTAGTTTTCACACCGTTTCCAGCAGTACTTAGGAGTTTGAGGAAAGAGGGCTTAGCATGAGCAATATAATGAAACACTAATTAAAAGAATAAGTTTCATATCAATTTGCTTTTGTGCCAGTCTAGTTTATTTTTCTTACCCCCACCTCCACCCCCAGTTTAAAAATAAAAATGGTAGGGGCAAGAGAGATTGCTGAGTGGTTAAGAACATGCTGCTCTTCAGGAGGGTCTGTGTTGCCAGCACCCACACTGGGCAGCTCCCAGCCTCCTCTAACTCAGCTCCAGGGCATCTGACACCCTTTTCCGACTTTCTCAGGCACCCAGATACATATGGCATGCACACACATGGACACCTGTATACACATAGGTCAAAAACAAACTATGACACTTTAAAGATTTCATGCCCACTTTCCAGGGTGATCCACTGTGAGTAAATTTAATAGACTTTTTTTTCTTTCTTTCTTGGTTTTTCCAAACAAGGTTTCTCTGTGTAACAGCCCTGGCTGTCCTGGATCTGCCTCCCAAGTGCTGGGATTAAAGGCATGCACCACTACCCGCCTGGCTTAGTAGACTTTTAAAATGAATTTTTTCTCCTCAATATTAGATGTTCACAAAGTAATATAGAGCCTGAGTTATTTGCTTGTGCTTATGTATGCTGGTGCATAAGCAATTTCAGATATTGGATGTTTGGGTTGGAGATACTCAGTTTACGTAGTGAAAACTCTTGTCCCTGAACTTACTGACTTGCCCTTAGAGGCAGTTATATCATATTTTTGGATTTTTGTGTGTGAGTGTATGGGGTATGTGTGGTTATTCTTGTTAGGCAAGTGCTGTACCACTGAGCTCCATTCCAGCTCCATTTGTGTTCTTTTTTATACATGTTTTATGTATTTTTGAGCATTCGTATGTTTTTTGTTTAGTTTTGTTTCCTGGAACTCAGTATGTAGCCCAGGCTCATTTTGAACTCAAGACCTTCCTTCAGCTTTCAGGTGCTAGGATTGCAGGTGGGGCATGCGGCCCACCCCCCAACCCCCCCATGTCTGGTTAGGCCACAAATGTCAGTAGGCTGCTCATGTTTTCTTAAGTTACTTTGATGTTAACATTATTATTTTATGTGTGTGTGTCACGGTCATGTTCATGCCTGATGCTCATGAAGCACAGGAGTGCATTGGATCCTCCAGAACTGTGGCCACAGATGGTCGTGAGCCACCATGTGGTTACTGGGAATTAAACCCAGGTCCTCTGGAAGAGCCGCCAGTGCTCCTAAATGCTGAGTCGCCTCTCCAGCCCCAGTTTATTTGTATTCTAAGTATAGTGGGGCTGGGAGGACGGCCCAGAGGGTAGAGTTCATGCTGTGCAAACATGAAGAGCAGAGTTTGGACCTCCAAACTAAAAAAGCTGGCTGTGTGCCGTGCACTGGGAACTCCAGCACTGTAGGGCTGGAGACAGGCAGTTCCTGGGGTCTCACTTACTAGCCACCTAGGAGTGTGGTGAAAGGGCAAGCTCTGGAACCAGTGAAAGACCCTGTCTCAAACAAAAACAAAAACAAACCTGAGCTGGATGATGATAGAGGCAGACATCTGATAGCAACCTCTGCCCTCCACACCTTCACACCCAGCCTGGAGCACCAGCACACAGACACACTCTAAAATGTTTTTAATTAAAACAATAAAGAGAATAGGGGCCTCATAATATCAAGGCTGAAGGATGAATTGTCTCTCCCTATTCTAGTTCCTGCTAGGCTCCACCCTTCCGATGTCTTCATGCATATAGACTTGAACAGGAAAGCAAATATTTTTGTTCTTTTCTCCATAATAAAAGCTTTTATTTTAATTAATTAATTTCATTATTTATTTATTTGAGGCAGAGTCTCCTCTACATAGCTCTGGCTGACCTGGAACTCACTGTATAGACCAGGTTGGCTTAGAACTCACAGAGATCCACCTGCCTCTGCCTCCTAAATGCTGGGATTAAAGGCCTGGCTCTCCATGTAACTTTTAAACCTATCTTGATATGTAAGAAACCAATCTAGAATAGTGCTTAAGAGCATACATGGCCTCTGGGACTGGCCTAAGCTGCTGTGCTTATGTGTGGTAGTGTGCCCCTGTGATCCCAGCATGTGGGACGCGGAAGTGGGAGGACCAGCAGAGGCTCTGGGGTGGGCTTCTTGAATTTTCCAGTGATATATTCAGGGATGCTCATGTTTCCTGTTATGCCACATTGTTCTGTAGAATCTGTTTAAGTTTTTAGTATAAGACAATGACTCAGTACGTGGTACATTTTTTGCTTAGATGAGTACTGTACATGAGTATATTGTGTTGTTTGTATTATTGGTTTTTTAAAAAAATTATGGCTCAGTGGTGAAGAGCACATACTGCTTTTGCATAAACTATTTGGTTAAAATCCACACATATACATGGCTGTGTGTTATATTTTTATATGGAAATGGCCTCTAGATTTTATATTCCCTGTGCATGGTAGTCTCATCAGGCAGGTTAGGAGGACCACATGGTTTCATATATCCTGATTCTTTTTTCTGTCTCTGTGGGGGGGTGGTGGTGGTGCTGTCATCTCTGAGGGGTACACTTGCCTGTTGTGGGCACATGTTGAGGTTAGAGGTTGACATTGGGCTGTCTTTTTTGCAGTCAGTTTTCCACCATATTTTTTGAGACAGCATCCATAATTGAACCTGGACCTCACCCTTCTGACCTGATTAGCTGGCCAGCCAGTCTTCTGGGATCTCTCACTAGCTGCTGGAGTTAAAGTTGCATAGTCCTGTCCTAGCTTTTATTGGGTGCTGGGATCTGAGCTCAGGCCTTCATGCTTTAGCAAGAAGCCATCTCCCTGAGCCTCTTTTATTTGGTGTGCAATAGCTAGCGTCTCACTATGTAGCCCTGGCTAGCCTGGGATTCTCTATGTAGAGCAGGCTAGCCTGCCTCTGCCTGGGACTAAAGACTTGTGCCACTTCACTGGGCTCCCGACCCTATTGTTTTAGAGACAGGGTCTCATGTAGCACAGGCTATCTTCTAACTTGTGAAGCTGAGGTTGGTCTTGAGCTCCTGATCCCCCTGCCTCCACCTCCCAAGCACCAAGACTCTAGGCATGTACAACCATGCTCAGACATATTATTTTCTTTTTTAAAAATTACATTTTAAATTATGTTGTGTGTCTATCCCTGTGTCTGTGTTGGGAAGGGGTGTTCATGATGCATGTATGGAGCTCAGAAGACAATTTGGGGAAATTGGTTCTTTCTAGCATGTAGGTTCCAGGGATGAAACACTTCTGGCTTGGTGACAAGTGTCTTTACCCAGTGATACATCTTGCTGGTCCCCACTTGTTCTTCTTAATAATATTCAGAGTCTAACTACAGAGCTTCCTTTCCCTTTCCTATCCTCATACCTTAGTTATAAAATACATTCAGTGTTAGAAGATAATAGAAACAGTAACACATGGGGAGGAAAGGATCACCTTTCAGGTGGGTGTCTGTACTTTTTATCTTTTTCTTACACCTGGGTATGCACATAGTCACTTAAACATTCACATGTCTGCTTGCTACAGTGATAGTGTGTATTGATTTCAACAACCAAAAAACTTAGTATTATGGGCATTTGAGTCACACCATTGAATTAATTATACTCCTTTGAGTACTGCGCTGTATGGCAATTGTTTTGGAATATACTTGAACTCTACTCAAGAACATTTTAAAAACACGCTGCATCAACATATCCTTTAGAGAACTCCTTCTGAACATCCTTCATGACTTAGGATGAGACCACAGGATGTGTGCTTCCTGCTCTCGGGGCACCCTCCCTCCCCTCCTGCCTGAGGGGAGGGGGCGAGGGAGAACTGGTCTGAGCTCAAACCCATGTGATACACAGAGTAAGCACATTGTGCCTTCTAAATGAATGTAGATCACTTCCAATATCTTGAGACTTTCTCTCCCTTCCTCAGTTCTTTTTATCTCTGTTCATTCCTCCTTTTCCCTTCTCACTTGAAGTTTACAGGACTTGGATTTGCTCCAGGTGAAGGAGGGAGCTATTGGAAAAGGTCTCACTCTGCACTTCCTTTTAAATGCATTTACCACATCAATACTACTTGACCCTGTACAGTACAGCCTTTCAGAAATCATAAACATTGCTATGCTTTGTTCAGTTGACTTTTCACATTGGTGCTTTTTAGTGACTTAATTCTTTGTTTTCACATATTAACTCATGTGTGAACCAGTCAGACATTGTTTCTCCTCCTGCTCTTCAGTAAACAACAGCAAAACCCCTGGAATATGCTTACTGTCTTTCTGTTTAGAAAGCGGTAGTGTGTAAACCTGGATTTAGGGCTTTTGATCTACCTAGACTGCCATAATGAAGGAACACTGAACTGAGCAGTACAGGTTGACTCTTAGTACTAACATAATCAGGAATAGCATTAAAGGCTTAAAAAGCCTACAGAATGCATCTTCCAAAAAGCCTCGATGACCCACCAGCAGGTAGGTGAGGAAGATTCATGTAGTTCCCAGAGAAGAAGGCTAGGTTGGCCGCGAGCACGGCAGTATCGGAGGGGAGCTGGCCCTTGGTCCAGCAGAGCCCCAGACAGCCAAGAGCTTTTCAGGAAGTTCAAGTCAACCAAACACGAAGAGCAGCTCATCTGCCAGGTTTTTGGCTTTTGTCATTTAGAAGGGAGCCCCACTTGCAATGCATATGACCACTGAGGCTTTGTTCTGACTTGTTTCCCAACAGGTCACGGTGCTGATGTGAAGTGTGTAGACTGGCATCCAACCAAAGGGTTAGTCGTTTCAGGAAGTAAAGATAGCCAGCAGCCAATCAAGTTCTGGGATCCCAAGACTGGGCAGAGTCTTGCAACACTGTAAGTGATAGGAACCCTACCTTGTCCCTTGAAGAAGAGGGACCAAAGGCAGCCTGCATCACTTGACTTTTAGCTTTCTCCTGTGGTTTGGACACCAAGAGTTGTAGTCTTTGGATGTTTGTTAAATATGACTTCTCTCTAAGTCTCTAGTGAAGGAAGATGATACTTGTTCTGCTCCAGACCTAAGTTTTACTGGGCTATCCTGTGACTGGTGGGAAGAGGAGGTTTCTCCTGTTGTCCCCGAGTCTCTTCAGAGCACCTGTCACCTGTGGTTTTAGTACCTGCGCCTCCTTCCAGTCGAGGCCCCACCTCCCCGGCTCCATCTGAATACAAAGATTTCTCTTCATTTGTGTGCCAGTTCTCTCCTCTCCTCCCCCTCCTCCCCTTCCCTGTCCTCTTTTCTCTCTCTTCTCTCTCCCATTTTCTGTCTCTCCTTCCCGTCCCCTCTCCCTGTTTCTCCCCTCCCTCTCCCCTCCCCCTCCCTTTCCTCTCCCTCTCCTTTTTCCTCCCTGTCCCCACCCATCTCCCATCTCTTCCCCATCTCTGTCTTCCCTCTCTTGGAGACTTGCTTGCTTAGGTAGCTTTGGTTTTCCTTGGCATTATTTGTAATTGTTACAGTTACATGAGTGTGTTCTGTTAGGGCACGTGGATGCCATATCCTGGCCCTAATTGGAAATGAAACATCCACACCTCAAATTAGTTAAGGCAAGGCTGCTGTGAAACATGGCCATACACAGTACATTGTGAACCCTTGGATAGAAGCATTATGCAGGCCCTGGGACAAAGCATTCATGCCTTTAGTTCAAATTAACCCTCAGACTATCTGTAAAGTAGTGCCTGCTTCCATAGGTAAAGTTTATCTTAATGAGAGAAACTTCATAGTTTTTAAAATCTGATGAACATGATAGAGTATCAGTGTATGTATTCCAAGTACTTCCCCTGTTTCCAGATGAACCTTTCTGTCCAGCAGAATCCCATTCCATTGCCCTTTTAGCTGGATTTTGAGAGTGGTGTTTAGATACTGGACTTCATTTCTGTCATCCACAGACGTAGTTTCCTTTTATTTTTCAAGTTTTCTTCTACTCCTTCTCTTCTTTTATTTCTTCCTCCTCCTTCTTCCTCTTCTTGCTCCTCCTCTTTTTTCTTTCTTTTTTCTTTTTTGAGACAAGGTGTCTCTATGTAGCCCTGCATGTTCTGGAACCTGTGTAGACCAACTTGGCCATGAACTTACAGAGGTCCGCCTTGCCTCTGCCTCCCAAGTGCTGGGATTAAAGGTGTGTGCCACCATGCCTGGCACTGACAAGAGTTTTCAAGTGTATTTTCAGTGTGATCTTATCTAGTTATGGTCACATGCTTTATTACTACCAGGCCACACCTTTCACCATCTTCATCCACGTGCTTTAACAAAAAGGACCATCTCCATTAAGTGATGCTTGCTCTGCATCCTGACATGGTATACTCTCGGTGCTTCGTTTCTAGTCACGCCCATAAGAACACAGTGATGGAAGTGAAATTAAACCTCAATGGCAACTGGCTCCTCACAGCATCGCGTGACCATCTCTGTAAGCTTTTTGATATCCGAAACCTGAAAGAAGAGCTTCAAGTGTTCCGAGGTCACAAGAAGGAAGCCACAGGTGTGTGCCTGCCGTGCTTCTCATTTGGGGGCCCTTCCCTGCAGCCGTCTCACATTGTAGTCGTGACCCCTTTCTCTGTTCTTTGGTTTGGCAGCTGTAGCCTGGCACCCTGTTCACGAAGGACTGTTTGCCAGTGGCGGCTCTGATGGCTCTCTGTTATTCTGGCATGTTGGGTATGTACCATTTACTGTGGAGAAGTGATAGTGTTTGCCTGTATACACATTCCCACATTGTATGACAGCAGAAGAGTCTTGGCTCTCTTGTATTGGGGGCCTCAGCTAGGGAAATTCTGGTGGCTGGGGACTGGGATGTTTTGACTCCCGACTCCATTGGCGTTCTCTTGAGAAGCACCCGCACATGGCCATTGCATGTGACAAACTTCTCCAAGTATGAAGACAGAGTCCTTCAGGGCAGATTTTGGACAGATAATGTTCTAAGTAAGAGACGCAGATGAAAATGAATGGTCTTGGGCTAGTGAGACTGCTCAACAGGTAAGAAACATCCGCTGTGCAAGCCTGACACCCTGATTTCTGTTCTTGGAATCCATTGCAGAAGGAGAGAACTGACTCCTAAAGTTCACTATGACTTCCCTTGGTGTACAATCATGTGTGCACACATGCACTCTCCCTCTCCACATACATGTAAACAACACACATCACACACACCACACATATCACACACACATTAGTAAACTAAATTTAAATTAAAAAGTCTGTTTTGAACTGGCCTCCAGAGAATGCACTGTAATGTGTGCAGTGCTGTGATGACTATAAATGACTGCAAGGAGTGTGTTGTGAAGAGTTCTCAAGTGTATATAAATAGGATCAGTATTGCATTTCTCTGTGCAGATATGTCCATATTGGAGAAAGTGTCCTGCACCTTTCAATTTTGTAAATCTCGAATGGAGTAGAAGACACAGCACTTGTGTTTTGGATGTAGAAGTCATTATGGAAGAATAAAATAGATTCCTTAGTTGAAATAGTTTATGAAGCGTACTTTTCTGTGGTTCCTTTATGTTTGACTGTACGAATCTACTTCTGCTGAAAAACCAGTGTAACACATAGCACTGACAAGACTCAACAGAGATGGTGGTGCTTCTTCTTTTAATGCTAAAGAATATCTTTTGTTTTGTTTTGATGTTTTTAGTGTTCTTTTATTTGTGCGTTTGTTTTGAGTGTTCTCTTGGGAATTTTGGTTTAACAATTTCTTTCACTGGTGCCTGTGCAGGGTTGAGAAGGAAGTAGGTGGGATGGAGATGGCTCATGAAGGGATGATCTGGAGTTTGGCTTGGCATCCTCTTGGACATATTCTCTGCTCAGGCTCAAATGACCATACCAGGTGAGTACCATACTGAAAATACTAAGAAATGTCTATACTTAAGGAGTAGTAGGAAACATACACACACACACACACACACACACACACACACACACACACACACACACACACACACACATACGTATGTATGTATGTATATATGTACATGTATATGTATATATTGGTTTATATTTCAATTTTTTTATTTCCTGAGACAGGGTTTCATTGTATAGCTCTGGCTATCTTGGAACTCTATGTAGACCAAGCTAGCGTCCAGCTCAGAGGTCTGCCTGCCTCTGCCTCCTGAGTGCTGGGATTAAAGGTGTGTATCACTGCCACCCAGCCCCTTCAAATTATTTTTAGAAATATTTTTATAGGGGACACTATTGGCGGGGAGGGTTCGCATGCAAATAAGTGCGTTTCATATTCATTCTTACATGTGGGTAACCTTTGTTCTTAGTTGCCCCTCTCCTCTATCCCCTTTCTTCTGAATATAGAGAAACCTAGTTTTCTCAGCACGGTTTCTTAAAGTGTCATTTTCCTGGTGTATGTTTTGGTACCGTTGTTAAAAAATTAAGTGGATATGACCTGTTGGTTTATTTCTGAGTTCTCTGTTCTATTCTGCTGGTCTACATGTCTGTTTCTCTACCAGTATCATGCAGTTTTGTTAACTACGTGTCTGTAGTATAATTTGAGATGAAATATTGTAATATTTCCAGTATTATTCTTTCTGTTAAGGATTAATTTGGCTATTTTTTAAAATTATTGTTGTTGTTGGTTTTTATTTTCATTTCCATGAGTTTTAGAAACCCCCTCCAAGCCCTTTTGAATTCTGTGTAGAATACCATTGGAGTTGTGAGGGGATTGCGTTGAATCTGCTAATCATTTTTAACATCACAGTATTCTGTTAATGCATCTACTATGTTCTTCAGTTTCTTTAGATATTAGTCAGTGTTTTAAAGTTTTAATTGTAGAGGTCTTTCATCTCTTTGGTTAGTTTTCTTCCTCCTCCTCCTCCTCTTCTTCTTTTTTTCCTTTCTTTCTTTTCTTCTTCCTCTCTTTTTTCTTTCTTTTCTTTCTTCTTTTTAAGACAAGGTCTCATGTTATTCCCAGGCTGGTCTTGAATTTCACTGTGTAGCCAAGGAAGCTTTAAACTTTTTACCCTGACACTAATCTCCCAGGTACTTGGATTATAGATATGGGCTGTCATGTCTGGTTTTTTAAAAAGTTTGAAGCTGTTGTTGCTTTTAGAGTTCTTTCTCAGACAGTTCAGTATTGGTATTCAGAAATGCTTTTTTTTGAAGATTGCTTTTGTATCCTTTTACTTTGTTTGAAGTGTTTATCTAGCTTAAGAATGTTCTCGTAGGATCTTTTTACTATCTGCATGTCATCGGCCAATACGAATGACTGGGACTTCTCCTATTTCTGCACTTTTATTTTATTCTCTTGCCTGATGTTCTAGCTAAGACTTCAAGCATTGTTTGAATAAAAGGGGGTGGGGATGGATATCCTTGTCTCCTTCTAGATTTTAGGAAAAATACTTCACAGCTTTTTCCCATTTACTATCATGTTGGCTATGGGTTTGTTATGTATAGTCTTTATTACATTGAGGAATATGTCCTTCCTCCTGTTCCTACTTTCTTCAGGGCTTTTATCATGAAGTGATAGTGAACTTTGTTAGAGGTCTTTTCCACGTCTGTTGATGATCATGTGACTCCTGTCTTTAGCTCTATTTCTGTATTGCTTTGCATTTATTGATTTGCATCCATTTAATCCGTCGTATTCCTGGGATGCAGCCACTTTGGACGTTGTCCTGGTTAGGATTTCTGTTGCTGTGATAAACACCATGACCAAAAGCAACTTGGAGAAGAAAGGGTTTATTTCGTCTGACAGCTCCTGGGTCACATTCCATTACTGAGAAAGTCAGGGCAGAAACTGGGAGCAGAGACCATGGAGCACACTGCTCACTTTCTTGTTCTCAGGTTCATGTTCAGCTTCCTTTATTATATAGCCTAGCCCCTTCCTCCTACATCATCAATTAATAATCAAGAAAATGCCCACAGACATGTTTACAGGCCAGTCTGATGGAGGCAGTTCTTCATTTGAGGTTTCTTCCCAGCTGTGTCTAGGGTTGTGTCATTGACAATTGACGCTATCTGTGATGGATATGTATCCACTTAATGTGTTCTTTAATTTGGTATGGGCTTTATTTTCAGGGCTTGAAATATTTCATTCCATGCTCTCTTGGATTTCAGGGTTGCTACCAAGAGAATTTCACTGAGATACTGAGATAATGTATTAATTAATTACCTTTCTCTTGCTGTGACAAAACACCATGACCAAGGGCAACTTAGGAAAGAGTTTATTTTGGCTTATAGTTCCAGAGGGATAGGGGTAAATCGTAGCAGGGCAGAGGCTGGCAGTAAGCGGCAGGCATGGTGGCAGGAACCGGAAGCTGAAAGGTCACATCCTCAACTGCAAGTGTGGAGCGGGGAAGGACTGGAAGCAGGGCAAGGCTATGTGTATAATCTCCAGGGACAGACTTCTTTGGCCGCGCTGTACCACCTACACCTCCCCAACTAGTGCTGCCGGCGGTGAACCAAGTGTTCAAACACCAGAGCCTGGGGGGTTGAACCTGGCTCAGACTGCTGCAGGTCTTACAGAAATTGGGGTTGGGCAAGTGTTTGAGTGGCCCCCTTTAAATGTATTATGTTAGTACTATTTTCTTCCACCGCAATGGACAAATTAAAGGAAATGAGAAATAATACAACATGGTCAGTATTTCTTCCCAGCGGGTTGACTGTGGCTTCCCTACCCTTTGGTTTTTGTAGCTGGCTCTGCAGGTGGACAGAGAGCTGCTGGTCTCAGTAATTCCAAAGGTTAGATCCCTGCTGATGAGAGTGTCTGTGGCGGGGTACGCCTGTAATCCCAGCACTCCAGGAGGCAAAGGCAGGTGGATTTCTGTGAATCTGAGGCCAAGCCCACCAGCGCTACACGGGGAGACCTTGATAAAACAACAACAAAACCCAAACCACAGAAGAGTTGGTGTGTTTGACTCATGATTGTGTAGGAGGCACCCAGTCTGAGACAACCCTCATTCTGCTCAGCTCCACGGCCAGTTACCCTCCTCTCTGATGGAGAGATTACACTTTCCACACCGGGATTTCTGTGTTCGAGGTTGTAGGGAGAAAGGACAGTGTACTCCTGCTTGTATTTACATTTGTTGTGGACTGTTTTCTTCCCAAACAGATGGGAGCTGCTTTTTGACAATGCTCAACAGTGTGGGAATACTTGCTGTCTATGGCTACATTGTGCCAGATTCAGGACAGGTTCCATGTTCTGTGTTGTTGTTGTTGGAGTAGGCAGTGGCTGAGGTGATGTCTTCCATATTCTTGAGCTTAATGAGAATCTCAGCTTTAGGTTCCCACACTCCACTTTTGTGGAGGTCTCCACAGCCAGTGCTGTGTGTCCCCCCTAATGGAAGCATCCCCGCTGCAGTCCGCTCAGTGTCTGTCCAGTGTCTGTCCTCTGATGGCAACGGCTGATGACCTAGGCTGGGCGGCAGTGTGGCCTAGTGTTCGCTGGCAGCTGCCACTGGCATTTTCTTCCCTGGAGGATTTTGTGGATCTCACTTGAGCTTAAAAAAAGCTTCTCTCTTTACTTCCTACCCCTTCTTTTCTCACACTTTCCAGCCCTTTTACCATTCTGTGTTTCTGATGTTTTTGTTTTCTTCTCTGATTCTAGTCCCCACCCGCACCTTTTAAAAACAAAAACAAAAACAAGAGTCATGTAAACCAGGTTAGACTCCAGTTTGCTCTGTAGCCGAAAATGACTTTGAGCTGCTACTCCTCCTACATCTGCCTCCCGAGTGCCGGGATTACAAGGGAGTCCCATCATACACAGCCTGAGTCTGTTATTTCTTGTTCTGACTCTATTCCTTCACTGAGTTACAGCATCTAATCTGCCATTTTTGGAGTGATTGGCATAAGGGTATTATAATAAAGAGATGGAGTATTAAACATTAACTTTGGTTGTTTAAATTTTGTTTTGCATTCTGATTAAAATATTTCAAAGAACGATATTTTAAAAACTTATTTGAGCTATTGTGCCCAGAAAAAAACACTGAAACCATGCTACTCTTTCTCCCATTACTTTTATTTCATCAGCAAATTCTGGACTCGAAACCGGCCTGGTGATAAGATGCGAGATCGATATAATCTGAACCTTTTACCTGGCATGTCGGAGGATGGAGTAGAGTATGGTAAGACTACATATTTGTCCTGTGAAGTCTCCTGATATCCCATTATAAACCTTAAGTATCAGGAGACTCCTACGAAACTAATTTGGGGCAAGGGATGTAACTAAGTGATCCAGTATTTACCCAGCATGCTTGATGCTCTGTTCTCAACCCTCACACCAAATAATTACCAGCCTCCAGATAATTTAGTTTTTTGTTTGGAGTCAGAGGCCTGCCTATTTCTGCCTCCCAAGTGCTGGGATTAAAGGCATGCATGCATCAGCTCACTCAGCCTTAGTTTTAATTTTATAATTTATTGATTTATAACTCACCAGCAATACCACCTGTTTTATTTGTTTGTTTGTTTGCTTTTTTTGTTTTGTTTTGTTTGGAGACATGGTCTCACTGTGTATTCCTGAGTGACTTAACTTGCTATTGCTATATAATCTATACTAGTCTTGAACTCATAGAGATCTACTGCCTCTGTCTTCTGAATGTTGTGATTAAAGGCATGTGCTACTGCACCCAGTGATATTACTTATTTTTATAAAGCATCATTTGTAGGGAACACTATGAAATCTCTATTAACAATGGATATATTATTTGTAGATGACCTGGAACCTAATAGCCTGGCAGTAATCCCAGGGATGGGAATACCAGAACAACTGAAGTTAGCTATGGAGCAAGAACAGATGGGTAAGGGCAGTTATGTTCATCCATTTAAATTTTTTTTATAAGTTTTTGTAGACCTCCATCTTATTTTCATGGTAAAATAGTTTGTTAATAAGTGGTGTTGGAATGCTCACATGGTTTATGTTGAGGATTTTGAATAAAAATAATTCAGACTATATAATGTTTTAAAATGTTGCTTCCAACAATTTGTTCATTTATTAAGTGGCTACATTCTTTCATTTAAGGGACTAACTGTTCTTTCTGTGGTTTCAGGAAAAGATGAGGCAAATGAAATTGAGATGACAATTCCAGGCCTAGATTGGGGAATGGAGGAAGTGATGCAAAAGGATCAGAAAAAGGTTCCGCAGAAGAAGGTCCCTTATGCAAAGCCCATTCCCGCTCAGTTCCAGCAGGTGAGTCACTAATAGCACCCTGTGCTGAGGGATCTGTGGCTGGATCCTTTCACTGGTGCTCAGAAGTAGGCGCCTTTGGATAAGATAAGCCCGTCAGCCCTTTGGGTGCCTTCTGCCCATAGTCTTCTTTTAAACATACTTACCATTTGCTGCTTTAAAGTTAAATCCTGAGCTTCACATCCATCTTCTTTGCCTTCTCTTATTATTGCCTCATTTTTATCATTTACATTGTCAGAGGGAAGAGAAAGAATCAGCAGGCAGTGTATGTTGCTGTTGTCTGCTTCACTGATACAAATACTCAAGTGGCTAGCAGCTTTGCATTCTTGTGTGTGTGTGTGTGTGTGTGTGTGTGTGTGTGTGTGTGTGTGTGTGTGTTCATTGGTATTTTGCCTACACGTATGTCTGTGTGAGGGTGTCTGATACTCTGGAACTGAAGTTACAGACAGTTGTGAGCTGCCATGTGGGTGCTGAGAATTGAATCTGGCTCCTCTGGAAGAATAGCCAGTGCTCTTAACTGCTGAACCCAACCCTCCAGCCTCAAAGCCTTGTGTTCTTGATAACTGCAATAGCTTGCAATATTTCAGTCAGCTTTCTGTCAGTGTGTCACATATCCATGTTAACAGCTGAAATTGAGGAGGAAGTCTGTTTTGGTTCATGGTTTCAGAAGGTCCATGGTTCTGTGGTGTGAGAGCACATCATGATGGGGAGCATGTTGCAGAATAAAGCTCACTTCATAATTCCCAAAGAGCAGAGAGAGTGAAAGGAGCTTGGGTCTCAGTATCCCCTACAAGGGTGTACCCCCAATGACCGACTCACTCCCTCAAGCCCCTGCCTCCTAGGATTTCACTTCCTCCCCAAAGTCATCACCTGGATACCAACCATCACCATATGAACTTTTGAGGATACCAAAGGGTAACTTGTAGTAATTTTAGTAGTAATTGGAGTAATTTCCAATGACACATGCACCTGCCCCACTCCATTATGTCATGAAGAATTGGCTTTAGAGGGGAAGACAGTTCAGCCACGTATACTGATGATATTAGAGAATATTTTCAACCTATCATAATTTTCATGCTTGTCTGTCATTTAATTTTCTCTTTTTTCTAAGGCCTGGATGCAAAATAAAGTTCCAATTCCTGCTCCAAATGAGGTACTGAATGACAGGAAAGAGGATATCAAATTGGAAGAGAAGAAAAAAACACAAGCAGAAATTGAGCAAGAAATGGCCACATTACAGTATACCAATCCACAGCTTTTAGAGGTGTGTAAGCTAAGAAAGTAGAGGTAGCATCTTTTATTGATAGCTTTTCCACACTGTTTATTGTTGTTTTTAAATGACACATGCATGTGTGCACGTGTGTGTTTTCACGTACGTATGTGGCATGGTGTGCATGTGGATGTCAGAAGGCAATATAGCAGTCTTACTTGAGGGCTTTAGCTTATTTTATTTATTCTGTACGCTAATTTTTTTTTTCTTCCCTTTCCAGCAACTTAAAATTGAAAGGCTTGCACAGAAACAGGCTGATCAGATCCAGCCTCCACCCTCGTCTGGTACCCCTCTGCTCGGACCTCAGCCCTTTTCTGGACAAGGTCCAATATCTCAGATTCCTCAAGGTTTTCAGCAACCTCATCCATCTCAGCAGATGCAATTGGTGGCTCAAATGGGGCCTCCAGGTCCCCAGGGCCAGTTCAGAGCTCCTGGACCCCAGGGACAAATGGGACCACAAGGCCCTCCATTGCATCAAGGAGGTGGGGGACCGCAAGGATTCATGGGACCACAAGGACCCCAGGGTCCTCCCCAGGGACTGCCTCGGCCTCAAGACATGCATGGTCCCCAAGGAATGCAGAGGCACCCTGGACCTCATGGCCCTTTGGGTCCCCAAGGGCCACCCGGACCTCAAGGTAGTTCTGGTCCTCAAGGTCATATGGGTCCCCAGGGTCCACCTGGACCACAGGGTCACATTGGCCCCCAAGGTCCACCTGCTCCTCAGGGCCACATGGGCCCGCAGGGGCCTCCTGGTACTCAAGGAATGCAGGGACCACCTGGTCCCCGAGGAATGCAAGGACCTCCTCATCCTCATGGGATACAGGGTGGACCAGGGTCTCAAGGAATCCAAGGTCCAGTGTCTCAGGGACCTCTGATGGGACTGAATCCAAGAGGAATGCAGGGGCCTCCAGGACCTCGGGAGAACCAGGGTCCTGCTCCTCAAGGGATCATGATTGGCCACCCACCTCAAGAGATGAGAGGACCTCATCCTCCAAGTGGATTGCTGGGACATGGCCCTCAGGAAATGAGAGGTCCTCAGGAGATGCGGGGCCTGCAGGGGCCTCCACCACAGGGATCCATGTTGGGCCCTCCGCAGGAACTTCGAGGGCCCTCAGGTTCACAAGGGCAGCAGGGGCCACCCCAGGGCTCTATGGGACCTCCACCCCAGGGTGGCATGCAAGGACCTCCTGGACCTCAGGGACAGCAGAACCCGGCAAGAGGGCCACATCCATCTCAAGGGCCAATACCATTCCAGCAGCAAAAAACACCTCTGCTAGGTGATGGGCCCCGGGCTCCCTTCAATCAGGTATTACTCATTTCTGGTTGAACGCATTAACACATGGGAATGGACTCTGTACTGCACAGCACTCATAAGGATGCAGAAAAGCACTTAACGCTGGGCTCACCTGCTCTTTAAGTGTCAGTAGTGGCTTATGACAGTGGCAGCCTGGCTGGAGGAACGTGGTGAGATGGAGATGAGGAACTAGTTACACCATCATTAAGTAGATCTCATGTGTCTTTACTTTGCACCTTATTATTTTTCACAGAGATTCTTCCAGAACAGACCAGCTTTCAATGGAATACAGTTGCTTGTGCCAAGGCTCCAAAGACTTGTGGCTCTAAGAGGGGAGTGTGTTAGGTTGTAGGCAGTTCCACAACTGTTGGAGTCTCTTGTGGACTTTTTAGTCTGATTATTCCATGGGCCTGCAAGTAAGCAGCCCACCTTCAACATTTCTGTCCACTCCAGTTTAAATTTTTTAAAATTCCATTTACTTACTTTATGAGTGTGCACATGCTCACACGCCATAGCAAGCATGTGGAGGTCAGAGGACTATTTTTAGAAACTGATTCTCTCCTTCTCCCGTTTGGACCTCAGGAATCTGATGGTTAGACGTGGTAGCAGGTCCTCTCAGCCATTCCACATGTTGTCACTGTTGTTTTAATTACATTCATTTATATCTATTTACTTTGTGTGTGTGTGGGGGGGGGGGGCAAATGCACCACTTTTAAAGATGGCCTGAGGGTGTTGGAGGATACTGAAAGCCATCTGCCTTACTATTTTCATTTCAGTGGATGCATTTATAGAAGAACTGAGTCCAGACCAGAGTACTTGAAAATAATGCCTTGTGCATGAAATTCTCTTCAAGCTGTTGTCACCTGCAGGATCATGAGGCTGTAGCTTATTTGACAAAATGCTTTGCTAGCATGTGGGACATGTTGGCTGGAGACAGAAGGATCTGGAGTTTAAGGTCATCCTTGATCACATGTCAGAAAACCATCCCCCATACAGTAAGACAGGGTCTTACTGTATAGCTCTGGCTGGAGCTTGTTTTGCAGACTAGGCTGGCTTCAAACTCATTCATAGAGGTCCCTCCACCTCTGCCTTGCAAATGCTGAGATTAAAGGTGTGCACCATCTTGCCCAGTCCCTAAATTATAAAGTTAAAAGTAGTATTTGTAGGAAGGAGTATTTGTGTAGGTATTTGGTTGTTTTTCAAGGACTCTGTCTTCAAGAAGTTTTGCTACTCAGTCATTATTTGCTACTTGAGAGATGGTGTGAAGAGAGTGTTAAGTTGTTTGGGGGTGAATTACACAAGACAGCAGGGGCGTGAGTGGATTCAGTAGTGTTTGCTTATGAGGTGATGACTGAAGTTCTCAGTCTTGGTATTATTTGGGAATGAGCAGCTGGGATTTTTGCTAGAATTCAGTTGTGAGCACACAACAGCAAGTGAAGGACCCCACAGCTCTGCTCTGAAAGACACTCGGGTACGGCCTGGGAAAGATAATAAAATAAAAATCTTTTCTTCAGGTGGGTGGTGGAGCTGCTGGAGTGGTGGCGCACGCCTTTAATCCCAGCACTCAGGAGGCAGAGGCAGGCGGATCTCTGTGAGTTCCAGGCCAGCCTGGTCTACAGAATGAATTCCGGGACAGCCAGGGCTACATAGAGAAACCCTGTCTCGAACAAACAAAACAAAGAACCCATTTTTTTTTCCCTTAACCTTTTACTGGGGAAGGAGAAGGCTGAAGATGGAACCCAGGACCATTGTGCATGCTGGGCAGGCAACGTACCTCTCAGCACATACAGCCCCGTCCTCTTGTGCTTTCCAGATTCCACTGAGAATCCATGGTCTAAAAATAGCCATTTGGGCCAGTGCAATAGCTCAGCAGGTCAGGGCATTTGCCAAGCAAACCTGATGATGTATGAGTCCCCCAAGCCCACATGGTAGGAGAGCCAGCACCCACAAGTCGTCCTCAAACCTCCATGTGTGCCTTGGCACACAGCATGTGCTACACTATGAAATGTAACCATTGGATTTACTGAGTATGTGATGTGGTATTCTGTAGATTTTCCAAAACGTGAAAATGTCATAAATTATGGGGCATTTGAGTTATTTCCACCTTAGGGAATTTAGAATGAACCGGATGCAGTTCAGAGCTGTCATCCTAAATTGTGCTAAAACTCCACATATTGTGTGTGTGTATGTGTGTGTGTGTGTGTGTGTGTGTGTGTGTGTGTGTGTGTGTGTGTAGATCAGTCTATCTGTCTGTCTATCAATTGGTTTTTTGAGACAGGGTTTCTCTGTGTAGTCCTGGCTGTTCTGGAACTCGCTTCATAGCCCAGGCTGGCCTCAAATAGATCCATCTGCCTCTGCCTCCTGAGTGCTGGGATTAAAGGCATGCGCCACCACTGCCCAGCTGTATGGCTTATTAATTCACTGTGCACTTGCATGTGTATACTACTTACTCTACTTATTAACTGCTTTTTTTGTTTGTTTTATGAAAGAATAGTTTTCATTTTGGAGGATTATAAAACTAAGAAACTTTTACTGTTATATGATGAATGAAACTCTAGACATGTTAGAGAAGAGGACAGTCAAATTTATACATGAAAACCATCATGGTTCCAAAATTTCTAGTTGACTTGAATTACTAGAATGAGTCTGAAAGACTTGATACTGTGTTTAAGGCATTTCAAATCTCAGAATTTTCTTGAAGGAAAATTTGCTCCTGTTTCTTACATCCTAAAGTCTGACTTTCTCCACTTTTTTTTTTTTTTTTTTTTTTTTTTTTTGGTTTTTCGAGACAGGGTTTCTCTGTGTAGCTTTGCGCCTTTCCTGGAACTCACTTGGTAGGCCAGGCTGGCCTCGAACTCACAGAGATCCGCCTGGCTCTGCCTCCCGAGTGCTGGGATTAAAGGCGTGCGCCACCACCGCCCGGCGACTTTCTCCACTTTTGATCAAGTGGTTTTTTCATTTGTTTTCATTGCTTTACCTCAGTGGAATCTGGGTGTTAAAATAGCAGCATGAAAGAAAGATACTGTTAAGAACTGTTTAGGGCTAAAAGTGGGCAGCAGAGCAGTTTAGACATTTCTGCCATTGAGGGCTGGGAAGATGACTCATGGGATAGGAGCATCTGATACAAGAGCATGAGGACCTGAGTTTGAATCTCTCGCACCCACGTTAGAAAGCTGGGCATGGTCACACTCGCGTCTGGAACCCCGGCACTGTGAGGGAAGAGAGGAGGATCACGGGACTTTTGGCTGCTGGCCTATTTCCAGGTTCAGTGAGAGAGCTTATTCATGGGAGTAATGTGAAGAGTGATAGAGCAGGACGTCTGACCTTGGCATGTATGCATGTATGCACATACACTAAATAAGCCAAAGCCCCAGAAACTTCTGGCAGTGCATTACTGATGGCATTTTCCTCTCTGTTTTTTAAAATGGACTCATTATGTAACTCAGGCTGGCCTTGAACTCCGAGTCCTCCTGCCTCAGCCTCCCGAGTTCTGGGTTTATAGACCATGTCTAATGAGCATTTTAATGAATTAGTTTTTGTACATTTGTGGAGTCCTGAGATCCAGTTCAGGTGGTCAGACTTTATGCACCAAGACTGTACTGTCAGTGTCCATTCATGTGACTGACTGGTTTGTGACATGTGAGTAATTTTACCACTGAGGTTTGAACCTGTGCTAGTCTCGTACAAAGGCCGCTCAGTAAGTGTATTTTCTGGTTGGTGTTTTTAGGGTTTCTCTGTGTAACAGCTCTGGCTATCCTGGAACTCATTCTGTAGACCAGGCTGGCCTTGAACTCACAGAGATCCACCTGCCTCTGCCTTCCAAGTGCTGGGATTAAAGGCGTGTGCCACATGCCAGGCTATTAAGTGTATTTTCTGTATGAAAGAATTTCCAGATACTTTCTGTTTTGTCTTGCTTTTGTTTTGTTATCTTTGTTTGAGACAAGGTTTTACTGTGTAGCCCAGGCTAGCCTTGAACTCACAGAGATCTGCCTCTGCCTCCCAAGTACTGGGATCGAAGGCACATGCCACCATGCCTGGTTTGTCTAGTTTGCTTTGTTAAGACTCCTGCTCCAAGGTCTTTGGGCAATGTGGGGAATCAGAACAAATACTAAGTGGCCATGGTGGCTCACCTGTACTTCCAGCCTTGGGAAGTGAAGACAGAGTCCCTAAGGCGAGCTGGCTGGTGAGACCAAGACTAACCGTAATGAATTTTGGGGTTGATTGAGACCCTGACTCAAAGAATAAGATGGAAGAGCCATTGAGAAAGATTCCTCGCATCAACCTCAGGCCTCCTGCACATACATGTGCATACAAAAGCATGTGCACCTTTCTACTACACATTGACACCTCTCTCTCTCTCTCTCTCTCTCTCTCTCTCTCTCTCTCTCTCTCTCACACACACACACACACACACACACACACACACACACACACACACACACACACACAGAGTTCGGGAGAGATGACTTAGTGGTTAAGAGCACTTGTTGCTATTGCAGAAGACTTGGGTTTGATTACATGTATCCACATGATGATAGCTCACAACCATCTGTAACTCCAGTTCCAGGGGATCTGATGTCCTCTTCTGGCCTTTGTGGATACTGAGTACACATGTAGTACACATACATACATGCAGGCAAAACATCATACACAAATATTAAATAAATCTTAAAAAAAAAAAGCCAGATTTAGCGGCACACATCTGTAATCTTGTCTGAGCTGCTAGGTGTGGTCAGAAGCTCACAGGCCACCAGCTTACAGTATAGTAACAGCAATAAGAGAGATGTTGCCTCAATGAGGTGGAAAAGGAGAACCAAATCCTGAAAGCTGTCCTCTTACCTCTGCATGTGACAGTGTGCACCTCTGCCATAAAATAAATAAATAGCAACAAGAAGCTCCATCCTGATGTAGCTTTGAGAGGGTTGGTTGCATTGTCACAACTTGACAGTTAAAGCTGCCTGCCTGGTAGAGGCCAGGCCTGTCCCATTGTGAGGAGCTCGCGGTCTGCAAGAGCCGGGGCACTACACTGTGACTCTCTTGGTTCCTGCTTGATCTTACAAGGAAAGCTCTGGCTTTAACTGAAACCTCTCAGGAGGTTTAAAATACAGATGCTTCTTCTTTTGATTGTGGAAAAGAAATAACTCCTTCCCCAGTTCAGCATTGTTTATGTGTATATTCCTTTGTGTTTTGTGTGAGTACAGGTGTGTGCATGCCACCTTGTTGGAGTCAGCTTGTCCGTTGCTGCATCTGACGAGCTAGCTGGCCTTTGTGTATCTCGGGACTCTCCCATTCCAGCTGCATTTCACCCCAAGTACACTGGGGTCCCACACTTGGGCTGCTTCATCTGACTTTACTTGGGTGCTGGGGAATTCAAACTCCATCCGGTTCTCATGCTTGCAGGGCACTTTATCTACCAAGCCATCTCCCCAGCCCACTTTAGAGGGGTTTTGTTTTAATGTCACTAGCTAAATATTTAGCAGCTTTTCACATGTTATGGTTGTTGTTCATGAAGCGCCTGTCCATGGTCTCATACCTGTCTTTACATGTTTCACCTCAGGAAGGACAGAGTGCAGGTCCCCCACCCTTGATACCAGGCCTAGGGCAGCAGGGAGCACAAGGCCGAATCCCTCCTCTGAACCCTGGACAAGGACCTGGCCCTAACAAAGGTAAATATATGCTTGGCTGAGGAAGTTTGTATTCTCCCTCTCTTGTGCACATTTGACAGTAAATAGTTTTGTTGGCAATTGATACAGTGGCATTGTGTTGGACCTGCTGGGAAGGTCACAGTCACTTTAGGTGATAGTTTGCTGTGTCTTTTGTTGCCATAGATAATGTTTCCTTAGGCAGTGATGCTGGCAGAGAAAATGAGTTCCATACTACCAGAGACTTGTGGTGAAACCACAGAGAGCCCTGGCATTTGTGTCTGTGGCCAGCACAGCCCACACTGGAATGGGAAGTGGCTCTTGTGCCTGTGGGATGCAGGTCCATGTGTCTGGCCTTCCAAAGAGCAGAACTGCCTCTGCTTTCGGCTCCTTGATAGGGTGGAGGATGCAGGATGTTAATGGAGCTCTTACTATCACTCCCCTTTGCCCCATTGTTCCACACTGGACTCTCTAACTGCATACATTGTAAGGCACCATTTGAAGAAGAAAGCAATGTACTAATATTATGAAAAGCAAAGATGAGGACTATCAGCATTTAGGGCGTATGGCTATTTGGAAGTTACCATTTAACCAGAGGATTTGGTTGAACAGGCATTGTGCCCTTGCTCCCAGGTGGGCAGCCTTGGAGTAAAGGGTAAGGGCTGGCAGGAGAGTTGGCATGGAAGAACTTAGGGGAATATGAGCAGAGGTGAGGTAGGAGTGGAATGGTCCCATTCAGCACCCTTAGGAAAGAATAGTACATTGGCACATGGGGCACTGTGGGTACTGTACCTCACAGTGCTGCACACCTTTATTACTAACTGGCCAAACCCGCAGCACCATGTGGTACATGTTAGATGTTTTTGTCCCATCCTGTTGGATTAAGAGAAGGCCTTTCAACATTTATAGCCCTGGAGTTTAGATGTTTAAAGCTCAGCTTTGAGTTGATGTGAGATACTAAAAGGTAAGAAAGGACAGGGATTCAAGCGCTTTTATTTCCATCCCCGTTGCTACCATAGAAGTGGTAGCAGTAGATACACAGAAGGATTTGTGAGAGAAAGAAAAGGAAGAGTTTCCCTGGAGGCTTGGGGACCCTTGGGAAGGGCATTTGTTGTCCACGCGGTACTTCTGTTAATGAATGAAAGTGGCCTCTCTGCCACACCTGCGTCTGTCTCCACTTGTTCCTGCGCATCTTGCTCGCCCCTCTCTCTCCCCTCTCCCTTCTCCCTCCTCCTCCCCACCTGCCCTGCTGCCTTCCCCCCCTCTTTCTCCTAGGGACCAGAGGGAGAAGGGAGAGACATGCCAGTGGCTTACCATCCCCTCCTGGATTAGTTGCCACCAACACAACATCACCGTTTGTAGTGGTAGGTTTCTTTCCTTGGAAGAAAGTTGACAGGCTCCTTTTAACCAGAGATGGTGAGATGAGTGTTTGTAGGTTAATGAAGTCCAGATGGAACCCGTGTCATATCCTCTGGTCGGTTGTCACTAAGTTCAGACAACCCGAAGTTGGAGAAGCAATTGTCTTAGTTGGGGTTTCTGTTGCTGTGATAAAATGTCATGACGCAAAGCAGCTTGGGGAGGAAAGGGTGTATTTTACCTTACAGCTTGTAAGTCCATCCCCCAGGGAAGTCAGGGAAGGAACTCAAGGCAGGAACCTAGAGGCAGGAGCTGATGAGAGGTCATAGAGGAGTGCTGCTTACTGGCTTGCTCTCCGTGGCTTGCTCAGCCTGCTTTCTCATGCAGCCTAGGACCACCAGCTCAGGGATGACACCACCCAGAAGAACTGGGTCCTCTCAGCAATCATCAGTCAAGCACCCAGGCTTACCCAGGGGCCAGTCTATGGGAACATTTTCTCAGTTGAGATTCCCTCTCGGAAAGTGACTCTAGCTTGTATCAAGTTGACATAGGACTAACCAGCACAGCTGTGAGAGCAGTGAGCATTGAGTGCTTGTCCGTTAGGGGAGTTGACCCAGATATTTGCAGACTGCCTGGAGAAAGGACAGTGGAGCTCAAGTGCAGAGACTTTTTTCTGACATCACCTTTTTATACTGAGATTTCCAAGTTTCAGTCCGTGCTGAGTGGAGAGGAGTTGAAATGGCTGGGGAGATGAAAAATGGAAGGGTGCGAGTTGGAGGCAGGGAACAGAAGTGTTGACTGACTGATACAGGAAAGTTGTTGTCTTATTGACAAGAAACAGCAGCAGAAGGCAGGAGCTGGGAAGTTTCGAATAAAATTCTTGTCTGCAAAACATGCTAATAATAACATACTTGAGGCCCATCATTCCCAGAAAGAGCAAAATAATATGTAAATGCAGACCCCAAAGTTGAAGGCCAGCAGAGCTCGTTTGTCCCCAAACAGCTGTTAGAGGGGCCCATGGTTCGGTGAGCCTTATGGAAGAGTGTGTTAAGATTCCTAAAATGCGGTATGGCATAAAGCAACAGGCCAGGGACTAAAGGAGTGGACAGTGGGTGGCAGCAGTGTAGACCCGGGGCCTGTGATGGCTTTGTGGTGCTTACACGAGCAGAAGTGAATGTGTGTGTGTGTGTGTGTAAAATTTATTTTCAGTTTTGAAGCAGGGTCTCACTGTATACCCTGGCTGGCCTGAAACTCCCTCTGTAGATCAGGCTGGTCTCAAACTCAAATCCATCTACTTTTACCTCAAAAGTGCTAGGATTAAGGGAGTGTGCCACTACCCCTGGCTGATGTGAATTCTTGATAACACAGTCTACAGCCCAACTTTTCTCTGTTGTGTCTCTTGGGTATCTAATCAGAGGCCCTGATGAAGTCGCAGGAAGAACAGGGACAGGGTAGGAAAGTCCATTCTCGTGCTGAAAGTTCACTTATGTTTTCAACATGTGGCTGAGAAGTGGACACTCTCTAGAGATTAGTGATTATCCTTAGGTCACATTATAAAGCTGAAAGTTGTACCCCAAACCCCATGGTCTCTCCATTATATGATGCTTTGGGATGTTTATCTTCTAAGTGCTCTGAGAACCTAGAAGGGAAAGCATTATAGGGCAAAGTATCTCCTAAAATTGGCAGGTACTGTAGAGCAGGCCTGCACAGCAGGCCTCATGGAAGCCATGGTAACTAACATTCAGCTTTGTTTCTTGTAGGTGACTCTCGAGGCCCTCCCAACCATCACCTGGGCCCCATGTCAGAGAGGCGGCACGAGCAGACTGGTGGCCCCGAGCACGGGCCTGAGAGGGGCCCTTTCCGGGGTGGCCAGGACTGCAGGGGTCCTCCTGACAGGCGTGGCTCTCACCCTGATTTCCCTGACGACTTCAGACCAGACGACTTCCACCCTGACAAGCGCTTTGGCCACCGGTTAAGGGAATTTGAAGGGCGAGGAGGACCCTTACCACAAGAAGAGAAATGGAGGCGAGGGGGCCCTGGACCTCCCTTTCCACCTGATCACAGGGAATTCAGTGAGGGTGATGGCCGGGGTGCAGCCCGAGGCCCTCCGGGGGCATGGGAAGGCCGCAGACCTGGAGATGAACGGTTCTCCAGGGATCCTGATGACCCACGTTTTCGAGGGCGCAGAGAAGAAAGGTAAGGAAGTGTATTCCGTGGGTTTTCTGCATTTCCCTGCCCTCACTACAAAAGATGGTTTTCCTTTCCTAGGGGAAAGTACTGCGTTGATTTAGCCCTATGTTCTATGTGGTTAGCATTTAGACTTTATTTTTTTACTTTGTTTTATTTAGGTTTTTTGAGACCGGGTTTCTCTGTGTAGCCCTGGCTGTCCTGGGACTCAACTCTGTAGACCAGGCTGACCTCTGACTCACAGAGATCTGCCTGCCGAGTGCTGGGATTAAAGTAAAAGGCGTGTGACTCCACTGCCTGTCAGCATTTAGACTTTAAAGTTATGTTATATGTAGTTCTCTATTATCTGTGCATTTGAGACCTTTGTCTTTCAAGTTGTTGTGACACAGTCTCATGCTGTAATACAGTCTCATGCTGCAGTCCAGGCTGTCCTTGAATTCCCAGGCCTTGTCTCTGCCTCCTGAGAGGAGTGTGCCACTACTCCTGACTAACGTTTCTGAGTTAAAGAGATGGGAGACTGTTTATGTATGCTCAGCGAGTGTCTTGGATCTGACTTATGGTGTCCAGGTTAATTAGCTGATGAGATCTGAACCAGATACTATAATTGAAAACAAGGGCTGGCGGGGCTGGAGAGATGGCTTAGCGGTTAAGAGCACCGGCTGCTCTAGAGGACCTGGGTTTGATCCCCAGCACCCACATGGCGGCTCACTGCTATCTGAAACTCCAGTTCCAGGGTGCCCAACACCCTCGTGCAGGCAAAACACCAGTGCACACAAATTAAAAACAAAAAAAGAAAAAAGAAAAGAAAGAGCTTATAAAATAGGCTAAGATTTTGTGGAATTGCCCAAAGGTCTTAACAGTCAGATTGAAATAAACACCATCTTCCTATTCAACTTAGGTCAGGCTTGAGTTCTCAGCCCTTTGGATAGAAAGACTAGGAGCAATGTAGAGGAAAGAAAACACATTGGTGTAATTTCAAGTGATATTGAGCATAACCAGTGATAGTCATGATTGATGTATAAGAATTGACGTCTGCATAATGATCATTGATCTCTTGAATCTCTGTGCCTTGTGCAGACGTCGCAGTTTGTTATGTCTTCATTTATATTTTTGTCTATTTATCAGCCTAGACTCTTGTGCTGTCCCACATCTGTGCTACTCTGTGTGTTTGCTTTTCCTCCACTTGGAACAACACTCTGTAGACTCTGTAGATAGCCATGGCTCACTCTGGTTGGACCCCCCCCCCCCATAGCTTTGTGTACTTTCTTACTTTCTTTGCAATACTTCTAGGACAGTCTTTCACTATGAATTATACAGTCATCCTTTGGTATCTGAAGGCAGTTTCCGAGGACTCTTATACATCAGAGTCCTTAAGCAGTTGGTAGTTACTTGTATAAAGTGCTGTAGGGTTTCCATATAACATATACACTTCCTACTGTGTGCTTTAGAAACATCTCAAGATGACTTACAGTACTTCATATAATATGAATGTATGTAAGTACTGTGCATGTTATATATGAATGTGTGTGTGTGTGTGTGTGTGTGTGTGTGTGTGTGTGTGTGTGTGTGTCTCGGGTTGAATCAGATGTCTTCATCAATCACTTGCCTCTGTATTTTTTGAGACAGAGTCTCTCACTAAACCTACAACTCACCGGTTCAGCTAGGCTGGCTGACTGTAAGCTCCTGGGATCTTCTTGTCTGTCTCCCAGAGCTGAGGTTGTAGACACAGCCTGCATTTTATATGTGTGCTGGAGATCTGAACTCAGATCCTCATGCTTGTATGGCAGTCACTTTACTGACCAAGCATCTCCCCAGCTCCAGAATGTTACTCTATTGTATTGTGTGTTTGAGACAGGGTCTCACAATGATTCCATGCTAGCCTGGAACTCACAGAGATCCACCAGCCTCTGTCTTCCAAGTGCTGGAATTAAAAGTGTGCACCACCATGCCTGGCTGTACTGTATTGTTTAGGAAATAAGACAGTGAGCAAAAGTCCAAGTGTTCCGTATAGAAGTGGAGAGGTGGCTAAGTACTTTTCATGCAAGCTTTACATTCTAAGTTTGGATCCCTGGAACTCATGTGAGTAAAAAGCCAGATGTGGTAAGTTAACCCCTGTGGCAAGATAGGAGACAGAGACTGGAGACTTTTGGGGGCTTGAGGGCCAGGCAACCTGGAATATAACAATAGAGACCCTGCTTGAACAAGATGTAAAGTTATTCTTTGAACTCCATGAGTTCACACACACACACACACACACACACACACACACACACACACACACACACACTGACATACATATGCCTGCATTCATATACTCATATACTTTGAAAAAAGAAAGTTAAGTTCTTGCTTTGTTGCCTAGGCTAGCTCTGAATTAATTATTCTGGGATTACAGGCATGTGGCACTACACCTAACTCCAAAATTAAAGAAAAAAATTGTATTATATTTCTTTATTCTGTGTGTGTTATTTTGTGTGGGTATGTGCATGTGAGTGTAGATACCCTTGGAAGCTAGAAGAGGGTGCTAGATCCCATGGAGCTGGAGTTACAGGGACTTGTGAAGTGCTTGATGTGGGTGCTGGCGTCTGACTGAGGTTGTCAGGAAGAGCATGCACACTTTACCACTGAGCCATCTCTTCAGCCCTGTTTTTTTTATCTGTGTGTGTGTGTGTGTGTGTGTGTGTGTGTGTGTGTGTGTGCATCTGCTGTGCTGTGCAAGTGGAGATCAGAGGACTTCTTGCAGTGGTCATTCTTCTCTACCACGTGAGCCCTGGGAATAATGCTCAGGTCCTCAGGCCTGGTAGCAACTGCCTTTACCTGCTGAGCTATTTCACTAGCCAGATCAAAAAAGAAAGAAAAACTTAAAACAAAAAACAAAACAAAAAACAACCCTAAGATTTGCATATTATGTGTGTTTTCCTGAATGCTTGTGTATCGTGTGCATGCCTAGTGCCCATGGGGAACAGAAGAGGGGATTGGATACCCGGAACTGGAGTTATAATGATTGTGAACTGCCATATACGAACTAGGAAACAAGCTTGGGTCCTCTACAAGGCAGCAAGCCCCTTTATTACTGAGCCATCTCTCCAGCCTTGTTTTTGAAGCTGTGTCTCATGCATTCTAGGCTGGTCTCAGACTTTCTGTTTAGCCAAAGTTTAACCTTGAACTCATGTTTCTCTTTTCTCCACCTCCCAAGTACAGAAATTACTGATGTGTGCCATCATGCTTTGCTATATTTATATTTACTGCTTATATCGCTTACAAGCACATCAATTTCCTGTTGTCTTCTTAGGACCTGGAGTGGTTGAGGCTAAACTGGGGAGGGATTTCAGAGGAATCAATTGATTAAAAGATGATTTTTAAAATTATTCATTTATTATTTATTTAGTTTAGATTTTCGAGACAGGATTTCTCTGTGTAGCTCTGGCTATCCTGGAACTTGTTCTATAGACCAGGCTGGCCTAGAACTCACAGAGCTCCTCCTGCCTCTGCCTCCTGAGTGGTGGGATTAAAGGTGGGTGATACCCCCTCCCAGTGTGGGGTGGGTGGGGCGGATAGTGACACTTTGTTCTGTTTCTCCTTCCTAATTTCATATCCTGCATGACCTTCATATCCTCATACAACTCTGCTTACTGACTTCCAAGAGTATGGGGCAGCTATCTGTACCATACCTATATACCATACCAATAGGTATTAGAGCTTCAGTATAGGAATTTAGGGGGGCACAAGCCGTCCGTATCAGTATAAAGGTGAAGGAGACTCCATTTGTACCCAGGGCATTGGCACAGTGGATGCCTGGGCACAGGAAAGAATATGCTGTGTTAAGACTGTCCTAGCCCATCGTGCCTCTTGTGCTGTTCTACTGTGACCCAGGTCTGCTGTGCTTACAGTAAAGATGCTTTGGTCATGCTACCTGGGGACAAAGAAGGTAATTAAAAGGGAACTGGAGGAAAAACCATACAAACTGGCTCATGCTTGGTATCTTAGTGTTCTATTGTTGTGAAGAGACACCATGACCAAGGCAACTCTTATAAAAGAAAGCATTTTAAGTGGGGCTTGTTCAGATTTAGAGGGTGAGTCCATGATCATCATGGAGAGAAGCAGGCAGGCAGGCACTGGAGCAATAACTGAGAGCTTTATATCCTGATCCCCAGGCAGCAGGCAGAGGGAGACAGTCTGGGCCTGGCATGGGCATTTGAAACCTGAAAGCCCACTCTCAGTGAATCGCCTCCTCTAACAAAGCCACATCTCCTTATCTTTCCTGAACAATTCCATTAACTGGAAACCAAGTATTCAAGCCTGGGCCTGTGGGGCCTTTCTCACTCAGACCACCAGAGTGGAGATTATATGCTGGGCCAATACACAGAGTGCATGTCCCCAGACAAGTCATGATCAGCACCCCTTTTTCCATCTGTGTATGTAAAAAAGATTGTTCATCATAAAAAAATACAACAAAAGGTACCAGTTGTAGTGGAAAGGTTGGTGAGGAGGGAATGAGACAGAGTAATGCACGGAAAGAACTTGGTATATCCCTGTCAGCGAGGTAACCTACATTCTGCTACGTTGTTGCCTTCCATCTACTTTGGACTGTAATGTTAGTGCTGTAAAGTGAAACTTCAATAAATAGACCGTGTTTTTATCTCCATTCACATTGTATATTAAAGTTTCTGTTATCTCCATACTTAAGAGTAATGTATTTCAGAAGGTGGACATTGTGTTTTTGTTCTCAGCTTTAGAAGAGGAGCCCCCCCAAGACATGAAGGCCGTGCTCCACCAAGAGGAAGGGACAACTTTCCTGGTCCTGATGACTTTGGTCCAGAAGAGGGTTTTGATGCTTCTGATGAAGCATCCCGAGGACGAGATCTCAGAGGGCGAGGCCGTGCCAACCCACGAGGTGAGCAGTTGAGAACAGCTGGTCTGAGGGACAGCAGCCTTGAGCACAGCTGGGCAGCCTCTGAGCGGTCTGTTTGCTCCTCTTCGTAGGGGGATCCAGGAAGTGCCTACTCCCCACTCCTGACGAGTTCCCTCGCTTTGAAGGAGGACGGAAACCAGATTCCTGGGATGGAAACCGAGAGCCCGGTAAGGAAGGAGATGTGCTTGTGCTTTGGTAGTTCCCAGAGCAGGGCCCATCACCAGGGTCTGTCTTTTCTAGTTTTACTCCATGGAGGCCAGTTGTCTTCTTGTCTGTCTGTTCAAGTGTTTTATCTCAATAGATTTAATGCAGAAATAGGTGGGAGAACCCAGCTTTTTTTGTTTTGTTTTGTTTTCCTTTTTTCTTAAGTAAGATAGTAAAGAGATTTGTGTTAAGTATAAAACAATTACTAGCCGGGCGGTGGTGGCGCACGCCTTTAATCCCAGCACTCGGGAGGCAGAGGCAGGTGGATCTCTGTGAGTTCGAGGCCAGCCTGGGCTACCAAGTGAGTTCCAGGAAAGGCACCAAAGCTACACAGAGAAACCCTGTCTCGAAAAACCAAAAAAAAAAAAAAAGGATAAAACAATTCATTTGGGTTAGGGATATAGTTTAAATCCTCAGCCATTCTTGGCAGTAGCATCTGGAATTCCACAGTGACGAGGCAGAGAGAGGGAAATCCCGAGAGCTCACTGACCAGCCTGTTGAGTCAGTTGCTGATTTAGGTTTAGCATCAGGCCCTGTCTCATAAAGTTGTGAGGCCAGGAGTGATGCACACCTTTAACCCTAGCACTCAGGAGGCAGAGGCAAGTAAATCTCTCTGAGTTTGAGACCATTCTGATCTACATAGCAAATTGTAGGCCAGTTAGGGCCACATAGTAAGATCCTGGCTTTAGGAGGAAAAAATCCAAAAGATGGAGACCTAAGGAAGATACTTTATATTGGCCTCTGGCTTCCAGACATACCAACACATACACAAATAATACTGTTCTTTTCACTAAATTGTCATCTATTTGGAAAATAAGGATAAAAGAATTAAAATTTTCCTCATCTTGATTTATCATACCATAAAATTAGTAGATGTGTTTTTGTTGTTTTGCTTTTGTTTTCTCTATGTAGCCCTGGCAGTCATGGAGAACAGGCTGGCTTCGAACTCAGAGATCTTCCTCCTCTGCCTTCCGAGTGCTGAGACTAGAGGTGTGCACCACCACGTCCAGCTGAGTAGATGTATTTTTTATTAGTGGACTTTTTGGAGTCCTCAGTAAACTTTATGTGTATATATGTGAGCTATGCATGTGTATGTATGTGTGTTCACATGTTTGTGGGTATACATTAGTACAGGTGGGATGCTTGTGTCTGCGTGTGTATAGAAGCCAGATAACAACTTTCCTTGGTGGCTGTCCATCTTAGATATTGAGGCAGGGTTTCTCATTTGAGTCAGGAGCCTGCTGATTTGGCTAGTCTAGCCAGCCGCCTTCCCTGGGACCGTATGCACATGTAGCTTTTATGTGGGTGTGGGAATCTGAGCTCCGGTCCCTAGTCGCACAGCAAGCCCTTTCCCGTTGAGCCAGCTCCCTAGCCCCTTCAATAGTTTTAAAGACCGTGATGATAACCGGAGTCCTGCCTCCTCTTATCCCAGGAGGAGTTCCTTTCTTTCGAATTCGTGGTGTGACTCAACCCGGTCTGTTTCGTAGACATTCCTGCTCTCAGGTTGCTCGAAGCGACCTCACTCCCAGTTGCTTTGGGCAGCACTGAGTGGCTGAGACGATAGTGTCAGATCCTTAACCATGGACCTTCGCTTTTCCTTTCAGGACCAGGTCATGAACATTTTCGTGATGCTCCCCGCCCCGATCATCCCCCTCATGATGGCCATTCACCAGCTAGCAGAGAGCGCTCCTCTTCTCTCCAAGGCATGGACATGGCCTCCCTACCACCCCGGAAGCGTCCCTGGCATGATGGGTCGGGCACTTCTGAACACAGAGAGATGGAGGCCCAGGGAGGCCCCTCGGAGGACCGAGGAAGCAAAGGTAAGAGGGCTGCAGCCCATCCCAGAGCTGCAGGAGTCTGTCCCCGCGGCGGCCTCCACCCTGCCTCTGTGTGGGTGTGGTTTGTTTGCCACGGCTGGGGGAGCTGCAGACTCTCCGGGAGGTCCTCGTTCGGGGTTTCTGCTCTGCTCCTTTGACCCCTGGCAGTTGTATCCCCCACCAGTGGCTATTTGGAGCCCTCGGGTATCCTCTCAGGGAAGGGAGAGCTATCTTCTCCCAGGTTCTGTACCTTGCTTTTCAGCGTGGCACTTTAACCAGGAGTAGCAGCCAGTGACAGTGACTACAAGTCTGGCTTTAGGGTGGGCTGGGTGGTGGTGGCCTGTGTGGTGTGCTTTGGAAAGGAAGCTGCTGGATGCTCCACCTTATTCACTGCAGTCTTTCCAGAATGACTTGTGTGTATCTAGTACATCTCCCTCCCCGCAGCTAAATGCAGTACTGTGGTCCTAGATGAATTCCTGAGCAATCAGGGTGCCCTGGCCAAGGACATGTGGCCAGATGACAGCTCTGTTGAGTTGACCTAACATGCTTTGCATAATAAGCAGCCAAGCTTATTGTTTGGCAAGTTCCCGTCACATCTTCATCTCCATTTGATTAACTTCCATTTAAACATTTCAGACAAAATAGAGTTGGCGGTCGTGTTGGAAGAACATGCTCTAGATGAGCCAATCACATCAGTTCAGGAGAAAAAGTTCTGTTTATGGATTCCTTTATTTTTGCAGTGCTGGCATTGAAACACAGGATCTAGGCACACAGTAGGCAAAGCACTGTACCACTGAGTTCCACCGAGCTGAAGAAAACAATTAAAATTTGTATTTATTCTTTGGTAATTTATTACACAGTTTAAAACACAAAATACTTAGGTCAGCTCATCCCAGACCCAATCCCCTCACGGCACCTTCCCAACTTAATATATCTCTCTCTTGTTTGTATAACCTGAGTTCAGTTAGCACTGTGCATGTGTACATGGGTATGGGGTGCCATCCATTGCAGTATGGGCAACCTATCATGGGGCCCACCACTGAAGAAGCTGGCTTTCTCTCCCCAGGTAGCTTCTCTTACTTTTTTTTTGGTTTTTGGAGACAGGGTTTCCCTGTGTAGCTTTGCGCCTTTCCTGGATCTCGCTCTGTAGACCAGGCTGGCCTCGAACTCAGAAAGATCCGCCTGGCTCTGCCTCTCAAGTATTGGGATTAAAGGTGTGCACCACCACTGCCCGGCTTTCTCTTACGTTTTTTAATTGTATTTGCTTTGTATGTCTGTACGTGGGTGCTGTGTACACATGTGGAACTTAGAGGACAATTGCCGGACTTGCTCCTCTCCTATCTTGTCCTGAGCATGGAATTTGGGTTGTTAAGTTTAGTAGCAGGTGCCTGTACCCGCCAAGCCATCTCACTAGCATAAGAAAGATTATTTAAGAGTTTCCTTCTAGCTAAACATCTGGGAATCCTAATTCTGAAAACAAGTCAAATTTAGTCAATCTCTGAAAGCCAGTTTATTTTTGTTCTTTGAGAATATCTTAACATCACTAAACATGTGTAGGGAGTCAAAGTGCCACATGTCATGGAACACACACACAGCCCCAACTGGAGCCCTTGTTGCTGACATCTGCAGCAGCCTATGTATCTTAGGTGCTTCTGAGTATGTGCAAAAACACCGTCAGCTGTGATGCAGGTTTCCTGGGGATTCGCAGTGTTTGGCTGGCTTCTGGCCTTCTGTCCAACAGCCCTGGGATGGATGGCCTCCACAGATGCTGAGGCCATGAGCCAGGGTGGAAATGAGGTCAGAAGGGACAGAGGAACCCGCTTCTGTGCTCTGAAAGCCACTGTGTATCTCCTTAGGACCTTCTGGTGGTCCACTGTGATCAGTGAGCGAAAGCTGTACCAGAAATTACAGATAAGCAGCCACTATGATATGGAATGTCATGTCTTGAATCATGTTTTGTTTCAGGCCGAACAGGCCCAGGACCTTCCCAGAGAGTGCCAAAGTCCGGACGTTCCAGCTCTTTGGATGGAGACCATCATGATGGGTACCACAGAGATGAACCTTTCGGTGGCCCTCCAGGCAGCAGCTCATCTTCTCGAGGGGGCCGGAGTGGCAGTAACTGGGGTAGAGGGAGTAACATGAACTCTGGCCCTCCACGGAGAGGCTCTTCAAGGGGTGGTGGGAGGGGTCGGTAGAAGTAGGGGCTGAGTAGCCCTGGGCCTCTGCATAGTATTTAAGAAGTTCTTGTGGACTCACCAAGGAAGCGGGAAGAAGCCTTTACCACTGTAGCCGAGCTCTTCTGGGGCAGCTGAGTTCGAGGAGCCCAATGCGGTTATCACGATGAAGAGACTGCTGCCACTACCCAGGGTAGTTGGCCCCGTTTGTCTTGTCCAACCTCGTCGCCCTAACGCTCCCTCCCATGTTGTTTGTGAAGATGAAAGCTGGAATCTTTTTTTTTTTTTTTTTTTTAACGTGTCGTAAGAAATGGAGCACCTCCACGAAGTTGAGTTCATGTCCAATTGGAAATTTATTTCTATATGTACAGTTTGTCAGAGAAAAAAAACCTTGTTTTGTATGAATACAGAATGTGATTTACTCAAGAATTAACAAAACAACCGGTTGTGTAGTGCTTGCCTTAAGGAACTCTGGTTTCTACTGGATCTGACCTGTTGGGTGCAGTTACTACTGTTACCCACGGCAGGTGACTGACGTTCATGTTAGCTTTGTGCTTTCCGAGTAATTTCCACCTTCCTGTTGTTACACTGTCTATTGTACGGTAAGGAATACTTTAAAACTGCTCTACCATAGTTCAAGAGGGCTGGCTCAAAACCTCAGACCTGCTCTTCTGGGTAGCAAATGACACCTGAAGAAAAACGTGAATCTTCTGGGTGCTCAACCAGAGGATCTCCTTTGGATGCATCTCCTCGCAGTTCCGGTTTGAGTGTCTTGTCTTCACTGGGAAAGTAACCTGGTGTAAACTGACGTCATCGACTACATGTATCTTCATTCTCCTGCACTTCAAGTGGAACAAAGTGTCCGCATTTCAGAAACAATCTCCTCTCCCATATTTGCTTTATGGCGACTTCAGGGTTTAGGGTAGAAGACAGAGTGCACCCAAGTTCTTTACCATGACAGGTTTCTTGCGTTAAAAAAGCAACACACCTTTGATCCCAGCACTAAGGAGGCAGAGCTCTGTAAGTTCAAAGCCAGCCTGGTCTGTGGAGAGAGCTCCAGGACAGCCAGGGCCACACAGTGAAACCCTATCTCGAATAAACAAATAAACACACAGACAGACAAACAGATAAAGCTGAGTGTGGAGGCAGAGGCAGGTGGATCTCTGAGTTCAAGGCCAGCCTGGTCTACAGAGAGAGTTCCAGGACAGCCAGGACTACATAGAAACTATCTCAAAATTAACCTGCCCCCATAAAACAACAACATAGGTAGGCCCTGGAGAGATGGCTCAGCAGTTAAGAGCACATACAGGGACTGGAATTCAGTTCTCACACACACACACACACACACACACACACACACACACACACGGAGAGGGAGAGATGGACATCTGGACATGGTGGCACACATGTATAACCTAGCATTTGGGAATTAGAGCCAGGAGGATCAGAAGTTCAATGGCTACATAGTAATTTTCAGGGTAGCCTGGGATACACAAGACCTTGTCTCACACTACTCCCTACCCCTCCAAAACCAGAGATGTCCCTGGTGTCCTTGGAGGCTGAAAGAGGGCCATCAGATACCCTGGAACTGGAGTTACAGGCAGTTGTAAACCACCAGGTGGGTGCTAGGAATTGAACACATGTCCTCCTCCAGAGCAGCTGGTGCTCTTAAGCACTGAGCTGTCTCTTCAGCCCTGACCACTGTTTTGTTTTTAAGAAAGCTTTCATTAAAAGGTCAGTCCTGGAGCTGCTAACAGCTTTGCTAACATGACCAGCTTTTTAGCACATGAAGACAGGTTTACTTGGCAAGTTGAAAAGAGATATAGTTGGACAAGTACACAGAAATCTTCCCCTGGCTCGCTCTGGGTATGGAGTGAAGAAATGTTGATTATTTGGGTGCTAGAACCTGAAGATTTCAAGTAAACCATTTTCTTTTTACTTCAGAAATAAAAATGGCCGGGCAGTGGTGGTTCACACCTTTAATCACAGCACTCGGGAGGCAGAGGCAGGTGGATCTCTGTGAGTTTGAGGCCAGCCTGGTCTACAGAGTGAGATCCAGGACAGGCACCAAAACTACACAGAGAAACCCTGTCTGGAAAAACCAATGAATAAATAATAAATAAAAATGTCGGTACCTACACTATCGGAAGCTGTATTCCCCCTCACTTGCATTCCCCTGGCATAGCATCAAAACAACCTCCAACCAAATTCCATGAAACTACAGAGGGATGCAGAGACCATCCGGGTCACATTTTGAGAATGAATTAATTTATAAACAGAACCTCTACATTATACATTAAATATTTACATATAGCATTTTAAATACTGCTGTCAAAATGTAAGATGTTGTGCTTAGAGTTTATAAAACTTACTTTCAAGTAATGAATTCCTGAGACAATTTTAATATCTTAAGTATAGTAACATTAAAAAATGTGCACATCACTACTTGCAAACAGCCTTTCTTTTCCTGAGTGGTAGGTAGCCCTATTTACTGCCTGGGAGCGCTGGAGAGAATGGTAGCTGGGAAGTCTATGGAGGGGTTATTAGCCAATATGGAATCACATGGGGGACTGCAGCAAGTAGCAATTTGCTGATGTCTGACCTTATCCTGTTAAGGCAACATTTGGGCAGCCTGGAAACCAGTTAACTTTCACGTTGTACAAGTCAGTCAGTACACAGAAGTGGTTCTCAATTTAGCTGAACATGAAAACATTATACAGTTCACCAGTATTACAAATGAACTGATGAAATGTGGTCTGAGAACCACTGATAAAATTCTAAGCTTCTAAATACACTTCACTTGCTAGTGTATCAAGACTCAATACTGAATCCAGTTTTTGACAATAGATTGTGATAGATTTAAATGTTGATTCACCCCAGCACAACAAAAACAATTATATATGAAAAGCATTTTACATTGCATTATTATCAAATTGTATAGTACTTTAAAAAGCAATAATGTTAGGAATAGTGAACACTTGGCAAAACCTCGTTTATAGCAAATACAATAACTGCAGATGTAAGATTTTCCTGTAGTCCCAGGATTCCTAAGCAGAAACCCTTGCAAACTTTGCACGCATCATACTGGATATCTAGCCTCTTGATCCAGGAAATTGCTCTTTGGTGTATTGCTTTTACGATTAATTTTCCTTAAATATTATAAAGCACCGTATTTACTACTTAACTGAAGAAGAAAAACCTGAGGTAGAATGTATTAACTACTCACTATTTTAAATCCAGTGGCTAAATTTAGTGTTTAATCTGATAATCTGGATTGATTTACAGTGAATAGCAAAAAGGAGGCTTTGAAAAGGAGCGGCAAAACGGAAACCTTAGGTTCAACCACGTATACCACTGCTTTTTTTTTTTTTAAATGACAAAGAGGAGATGGCAGTTCTTCCAAAGCCACGAAAGCAGCCAAGTCAAAAAGCTATTTGTTTTTCTTTTCCTCCCTTAAATGTAAAGCCAGTTAGTTGGAAAACAGTTCCACAGCACAGTGTTTACCAATCAGGTAATCCAGTCTTTTCGGGGAGCATGCTGCCTCGAACCTCAGAATGCTGAAGCCCAAGGACCTTTTGAGACCGCCAGCCTGGGGTCAGTTCGTGGCAGGTGCTCCAAGCTCAGGGACTCCGCAGCACAGTCCAGTTGGTGCCTCGTCCTTGCACGCTTGGGTACCGTGGAGTGCGGCGGCGCCTGCACCGTCGCTCGCCCGGCTGGTTCCGCTTCCTGAGACCGGGGCTGTCACACCGGGAGAGCGTTGGCTAGGCCCGCCCCACGGTTCAGGCGACCCAGCGCTAGGCGTAGGGCCGTCACGCTGCCCCAGGGTAGGAGCCCCAGCAGCGCGTAGAGCAGGGCGGCTACCTGTGCGCAGGCGCCGAGCGCCGTCAGCACCGTACTGCGCAGGACCAGGGCCGCGTAGAGCGTGGCGCCCAAAGCGGCCGCGTAGCCCAGCGCGGGGCGCGAAGGCGTCTCCTCGCCGCGCAGCAGGCGCCCACAGGCCGGGCCGCCCCGCAGCAGCGCCGCGCTCGCCAGCGCCAGCACCGAGCCCAGCGACCAGAGCAGCGCGAACTTGCGCGCGCGCAGCAGCAGCACCGGTGCGTAGAGCGCCGCCAGGCCGAAACAGAGCGCGGCCAGCAGCAGACACAGGCCGCCGGCCGCCAGGCGCTGCCCGCGAGTCACGGTCGGGAGGCACCGCGAGCCGGCGGGCGGCGGCTCGGCAGGGCTCCCGGCCCACGGCCATCGCAGAGCCGCGCGCCCGAGCCACGCCCCGGCAGCTCGGCCCCCGGCCGCAGGCTCCTCGGCTGCCCTCGCGGCGAGCAGCGGCTCCGCAGCCGCCGGCCTGTTCGCTTTCCCCTGCGTCAGGTAGTCCTGCAGTTGGCGGTGGAGATCCGCCATGTCGGACTGAGCGGCGATGGAAGCGGGGCTGACGCTTCCGGGTTCGGGCGCCCCCCCCCCGAAAGCGGAAGTAGCTAGATTCCTCGGGCGACGGTTGGTCGGCCACGGCGGAAGGGAGGTGTCCAAGGCTTGGCGGAAGTCCCGGATAGGCTGCACAGCTGTGTTGTAGTTAGTCTCCCGGATCCTGATCGTGTGAGTGTTTTAGTCAAGGGATAAACAAAAGATAGTTGAGAGTCGCTGTAGCAATAAACGGATGCACTGGGCATATTTTTGCTGGCATAATGAATATTGTCAGGTGTTATTATTAACAATGTCACTTTTAACACTTAAAATTTTGCTAAATGGAGGAGTCTGGGGAAAGGGTACACGGAATTTCTTTCCTCTCCTTTCTTTCTTTCTTTCTTTCTCTCTCTCTCTCTTTCTTTCTTTCTTTCTTTCTTTCTTTCTTTCTTTCCTTCCTTCCTTCCTTCCTTCCTTCCTTCCTTCCTTCCTTCCTTCCTTTCTTTCTTTCTTCTTTCCTCTCTCTCGTCTACATTTCTGCGTCTCTCTCAAAATTCTAATGAAGGAGCTGGAGAGGTGGCTCAGTGATTAAGAGCATTTGCTGCTCCTGCAGTGGACCCAGGTTCAGATCCCAGCACCCGTATGACATCGAGCAACCACTTGTAACTTCACAATCTGAGTCATCTTGCTAGTCCATAAAATACTTTCGGGCTACAGACAACTAAGATTCAGGAAATGAGTCAGTGGTGGCGTTATAATTGTGGCATACACCTGTAATCCCGACACTCAGAGAGGCCCAAGCTTGTTAGCGTCGGTTCTCACTGCCGAGACAGCACATCAGGGTGTATTTTGAGAATTTATCTGTCAGGAAAACAGAAAGTGTTGCAAGCAGTTTAGTGCAGAGTCTCACTACAATTTGTTTGGGGTGATCTTTAGCCTACTCAATAGCTATTCCTTGTACTCTCTTCCCCCATGTCAGACCTGACATTCTGTACTATCACGTAAAGCTTGGTTTAACATCTCGATAACAGATTTAAAAACTTTTAGAATGTACTAACGTATCAGAACCCTGATTTCCCACTAATCAAAGAGCCAAGCATTTTTTTTTCAGATAGCATCCAAGGCCTAGAGTTCTCCCCACCTGCTTTTTACCCACAAATGTATTTGAAAAGTGTCTTGCTTTATGGCTTTCTTTGTTCTGTTACTATAAAAAGTTTATGAAGTTGTTACCTAAATCTGTGTATCAAGACCATGGTCACTCATATTTGGCTCCAGAATAAACTACATCCCTTATTCCTTTGACGTGAGAGTTGTTTCTTTCATTAACAACATCCAGGGTATGGGGTCTAAGGTCCTTGATCCATTTGGAGTTTTGTGCAGGCTGAGAGATAAGATCTCATCTCATTCTTCAGCATTTAGCTAACCAGTTTGACCAGTGCCGTTTGTTGAAGACACTGTCTTTTCTCCATTGTGTATTGTTGGCCTCTTTATTTAGAAAACAAAACAAAACAACCAAACAAAAAAACAGGTGTCAGAGTGTGGGTTTATTATGTGGGTCCTCATTGATCAATGAGTTTGTTTTTATGCCAGCACCATGATGGATCTGGGATGGTCATACCTCCAGCTCTCTGCTGCTGTTCAGGATGGTTTGAGCTATCATAGATCTTTTGTGTTGTAATATGAAAGTGAAGATTTTTTTTCAATTTATGTGAAGAATTGTGTTGGAATTTTGTTGTGTACTGCACTGAATCTGTAGATTGCCTTTGTCAGGACAGCCATTTTCACGATATTAATTCTGCCAGTCCGTGAACACGGGAGGCCTTTACATCTTGTATATTCTTCATTGTTTTCCCAGTGTCTTAATTTATTGTACTAGACTTTCATTTCCTTGGTTAAATTTCTCTCTCTCTCTCTCTCTCTCTCTCTCTCTCTCTCTCTCTCTCTCTCTCTCTCTCCACACATACACACACACACACACACACACACACACACACACACACACACACACACACACAGTGTAAGTGGAATTATTTTCCTGATTTCATACTTGGTATGTTTGTCATTAGTATGTAGGAATGCTACTGATTTTTGTGTATTAATTGTGTATTCTGCTACTTTGCTGAATGTGTTTATCAGCCATAAGAGATTTTTTGTGGCATCTTCAGAGCCTTTTTACATATAGAATCATTTCTGCAAATAAAGATACTTGATTTCTCTATCATCTCCTACACCCACCTTTATTGCTCCACCTAAGATTTTATATACTATATTGAACAGGAGGTGAGAGAGTGAACATTCTTGTCTTGCTCCTGATTTTAGTGGAAATGCTCTGAGTTTTCCTCTGTTTAGCCAGATGTTGGCTGAGGAAGTGCTGTGTATTGCCTTTATTATGTAGAGATATGTCACAGACCCTCCAGGACTTTCATCATGAAGTGATGTTAGATTTTTGTCAACATTTTTTCTACATGTTCTAAGATGACTTTTCTGCATCTCATAAGATAATCATATACTTTCTATCTTTTAGTCTTGTTTATGTGGTAGATTACACTTTTATTGACTTACATATATTAAACCATCCCTGCATCTCTGGGATGAAACTGATTTGATCATGGTGGTAATCTTTTTGATTTTTCTTGAATTTGGTTACAAGCATTTTATTGAGATTTTTTTTTTTTGCATCCATGTTCATCAGAAATATTGGCCTGTAATTTTCTTTCCTTTGTTGTGTCGTTGGCTCTTTGTCTGGTTTTGGTATCAGGCTAATAATGGCTTTGTAAAGGGAATTTGGAAGTATTCCTTCCTTTTGTACCTTACACATAATTAAAGGAGAATTGGTCCAATTCTTTGAGAGTCCAGTAGAATTCTGCATTGAATCCATCTGGCCCTAAGCTGTTTTAGTTGTGAGTTTTGTTTTTTTTAACTTTTTATTGATTCTCTGTGAATCATGCACCCCATCCCACTCATTTCCTAGTCCTTCCAGATCTGCCCTCTGCCCCTGCAACCTCCCCCCCTCCCCCCCAAAGCAAGCAAGCAAGCAAACAAATCTCACTGTGGAAGCTGCAGTATGTCATGGTGTGCCTTACAGTACACCCTTTGCCTAAACAGCTTTACTTACAAATGTCCATTGCAATGAGTCGTTGGATTGGCTGGAGGCCTCTGGCTTCTGTTACACTATCAGTCCTGCATCCTCACCAGAACTCCTCTCAGATATCCTGTTGTTGCTGTGTCATGGAGATCCTGCCCCTTCCCATGATTCAGCAGGTCATAGATGGGGTGGATGTTGGGGCAGGTCAACTCAAAGCCCTGGATCTGGGCCTGGGTGGTAGCCTGCTGTCCTGCACCTGCACCACCAGGGCCAGCTCTCCTGCTGTGCCCAGGCTAGGTGTGTGGCTGGTTCTCCTGAGCTGATGCAATTGGGGCTAGCTCTCACTCACCCATGCCACCAGGACCAGCTCTCCCAGGGAGATTTTTTTAAAAAAGGGATATTATTTTACGTGTATGGGTGTTTCGCCTGCACGTATGTCTGTGCACTGCCTGGATGCAGTGCCCGTGGAGGCCAGAAGAGGGCACTGGATCCCCTGGCACTGGAGTTACAGATGGTTGTGAACCACTGTGTGGGCGCTGGGAATCAAACTGAGACCCTGGAAGTGCAGCCAGTGTCCTTAACTGTTGAACCATCTCTCCAGTCCCTAGTTGGGAGATTTTCAATGACTGGTTCTATCCCGTTGAATGACATGGGTCTATTTAAATTATCCCATCTTGACTTAGCTTTGGTAGATAATATGTATCTAGAAATTAATCCTTTCCTTTTAGACTTTTGATATTGTAGCACGAATTGTGAGAAAGCCTTATTAATAAAAACAAGAAACCGTGTCTCGAAAAACCAAAAAAAATAAATAAATAAAATAAAAAAATAAAAACAAACCTGGAGCCAGGTATTGGGGTTAAAGCTTGAAGATCAGAGAAGCAGAACAAGCCACAGCTTCCTCACCTCGCCAGTTCCTCAGCTGAGCCTGTTTCCTCAGACTGGAAGCCTCTGAGTCCTCATCCAGAATGAATCTCAGCTAAACTACTGCTCAAAAGCTAAAAGCGTAAAAGCCTCTAGTTCCTGGTCCTCAGGCCTTATATACCTTTCTGCTTCCAGTCATCACTTCCTGGGATTAAAGGCATGTGCCACCATGCCTGGCTGTTTCCAGTGTGGCTTTGAACTCCGGATGGATCTCTGCCTCCAGAATGCTAGGATTAAAGGTGTGTGTACCACCATTTTCTGGCCTCTATGTCTATCTAGCAGCTGTTCTGTTCTCTGACCCCAGATAAGTTTATTAAGGTGCACAATATATTGGGGGACACAATATCACCACATGACATTGATGGAATGTAGTTATTTTTAAAAGGAAATCCTTATGATTTCCTGAATATTTTCAGTGTTTGTTGTGATGGCTCTAATTTTATTAATTTAGATCCCATCTTTCTTTTAGCTAATTAGACTAAAGGTTGTGAATCTTGTTAATCCTCCAGAAAACCTTCTGTGATGGCTAATCTTGATGGTCAACCTGACACATCTGGAATCAACTAAATTTAAGCTGGGAACACCTGTGTGCGATTGTGTTGATTGGATGTTTGAGGTGGGAAGACCCACCCTAAACCTGGGCCACATCTTCTGGTGGCATCCTACTTGAAAGGATGTGGAAGAAGGAAGCTTTTGCTTTTTGCCTTCTGGCCCTTACTCTCACTGGCTAGTTCATCTATCCTGTTGCCGAAGCATTCCTTTGCTGGTGTTAGAACCCACTTCTTCAGAATTCCATCACCCTGAAGACCAGCTGAGATACCCGGTCTTGTGGACTGAACAACTACTGGATTCTTGGACTTTCCATTAGGAGACAGCCGTTGGACTAGTCAGACCACAGCCTGCAATCCATTCCAATAAATCATGTGTGTGTGTGTGTGTGTGTGTGTGTGTGTGTGTGTGTGTGTGTGTGCAAGAGAGACAGAGACAGACAGAGACACAGAGAGAGAAACTCTGACTAATCTAGTCCCCAACTTAAATCTTGCTCTGTTCAGTGGCACAGTGGTCTTTCCTGGAGAAGGGTCAGCCCATACAGATGAAGAATTCTTAGCTGTGTCTGAGGAGACTTACTTTGTTTGGAACAGAGGGTGGAAAGTTCCATTCCTAAAAGTGTTAGTGATAATGAAAGACTTTCTTCTTCTTGTTGTTGTTTATAAGAGATTAAAGGGAGCCGAGAAGATGACTCAGTTGGTAAAATGTTTGCTTTGTAAGCTTGAGGACCTGAGTTCAATACCCAGGGACAGTAAGCCCAGTGTGGTGGCTTGTTTTTAACACCAGTACTGAGGCAGGGACAGGTAGAGGCTGAGGTTGGCCAGCCAGCCAGCTTGTACTGCTAGGCAAGAGCCAGGGCAGTGAAAAACATGTCTCAAAACAAACAAACAAGAAAAGAAAAAAAAATTGGTGGACAGTGTCTGAGGGGCAATATCTGAGATTGTTCTCTGACCCTCACACACATGAATGCACACATGCACGCACGCACGCACACACACACGCATGTGTGTGAGCACATACACCAAGAGAGAACTTGGCGGCTCCATGACAGCAGCGAGAAAAATGGCAAGGCACTCAGCAATGTAACAGATCTAGAAGATTCTAGAAAGAACCCCCCTAGGAGGCAGAAATCTGTGCGTAAAGCTGGGCTTCCCGGACACAGGAGCAATCACAAGATGTGGACAGTGTTGGGATCCGTTTTCAGTACATCAGGGTTCTCGGGAGGAACAGAAGGGACAGAATGCATGTATAAAGGAAGGATTTATTAGATTGGATTCCATGATGTTGTCTAGGTAGTCAACAGTACCTGCTTCATAGTAGAGAGGCAGGGAACTGGGTAGTTGCTGAGTCCAGAGACTGGGTGTCTCACCCTGAAGACGCTGGCTCTGACGTTAGTGAAGGAATTGGTGGCAGCAACAGAGGCCACCTTGTCTTGAGGCAGGCAAAAGCAGACTTGACTTCTTCTGGGGTCTTTTATCAGGGCTGCCACCAGGGGGCGCCACCCACATGTAGGGCGGACCTCCCTGCTCAAATAACCTGATCAAGAAAAGTCCCTCACCAGTGTCCAACTTCTTGTCTTTTAGTTGATTTCTGATTCAGTTGACAAATCGACCTCATGTCAACTTGACACATGATCATTTCTCCTTATATCATGCGTTATTTCCAAAGGCAACATATAATAAGGTCATAATTCTGCCTAACATGATACAGTGGTCTCATGTACAGCCTCAAACACATTCCTTCTTCCAAACAGGTGGTAAACTCCCTTGGGAGTGCTTAGTCTTTCAATGTCCCGTAACTTAAGATTGGGAATACAGATCTGCAGCACTTAACCACTGATATTATTCAGTCAGTCTTATATTACATTATAAACAAACAGGAAAGAAAACACAAATATCTGCTTAACGTATGTGTTTATACATCACATGCATATCTTCACAAACGTTGTCTGAACAGAATAGGACTGTGCTGGCTAGTGTTTTTAAACTTGACACACAAGCTAAAGTCATAGAGAAGACGGAACCTCAACTGAGAAGATGTCCCTACAAAATTGGCCAGTGGGCAAGCCTGGGGGGCATTTTCTTAAATAATAATTGATGCGGGTGGGCCCAGCTCACTTAGGCAGTGCCTCCCCTGTGCAGGTGATTGCGCGTGGTATAGAAAGCAAGCCATGAGGAACAGGCCAAGAAGCAGCATTCCTCATGGCCTTCACATCAGTTCCTGTCTCCAAGTTCCCGCCTTGAGTTCCTCCCCTGACTTCCCTGGATGATGGACTGCAAACTACAGGATAAAATAAACCCTTTCCTCCAC